ATCCTACTTCTAATGCCTCTGCTCGTCCCCTATGTGCCCACACTCTCACTATATAGCCGCCTTTTTTCGGCCCCTTAGAGTTTGATGTATCTAGATTCAACTGTCTTAATATAATTTAAATTTTAGCAATGAGGAAATGAACAAGCAAAAGTTACTTCATAGTCTGGAAGTGACTTATTTGAAGGTTTATTTGACTGACTACAAGAAACAGCAAAATATTAGTTAGATTTGCTGCTAAACAACAAACCTCTTTCCTTTAAATTTCAAATTTTCTTTAAATATTTTTAGATGCCGAAATTAATTATTTGGAATTAGAAACTCTTGTAACCCCTTCGACTCATTCACACTTTTTTTTATTTATTTTTGTGTTTATAGCAAAGTATGTACCTTATTTTCCCTTATTCGCACATCACCGTATTCGCTCTTTTCTCCCCTCTTTTCTCAGTCCACTCTCAAAGAGCCGCTCTATTAGAGACCGCTCGGTCACTCAGACCGCTCGGTCCATAGACTGGATGTAAAGAAAAATTCGGTGAAGGGAGATAACTTGATCGTCCCTTTTCATGCATTTTTCTGGGGATAAGGGGGATTTTCTGGGGATATTTATTAAGCTTTTGGATTATTGAGAATTTGATAAGAGGATATTAGGTCAACTTAAGTTTTAAGGTAATCTTCTTGGGATATGTGGATTTAAAATAAGAAAGGATTTTAACAATTTTTTCAAGTTAAAATTTATATTTCGGCATCATTTTTTATTTATTCGGTTATCTGTTTTATTTTCAATGCATAAATCTGTCAAAAAAATTTTGTTTTATTTTAAATTTAACTAAATAGCGGTAAGAATTTAAAATTTAATTAGATAAAACCATCGAGTATTAATCAAGCATTGGTCAAAAAATTGTGTTTTTACTCCATATTTTAAACTTAATGATATAAATACCAGACTAGCACATGGATACGAATATGGATACAGATATTATAAAAATCCCTGCGGATATCCGTCTGTATCCGCCGTAAATATGCGGATACGGATACCAAAATCAGTATCCGTGTAGTCTGATAAATACCGTAATTGTCAAAAGAATGCCTCTTATTCAATTATATTCATTCAACTTTTGCCCTTAATTCAATAATTTAAATATACTAGAGTAATAACTCTTAACTCTGAGAGAATCTAGAATCTTTAGAATTTACAAAATAAACTCTGATTATACACTAAAATCCTAACGTTTAAATAGAGGAAAAAATGGGAGGGGTTTTAACATAAAATAACAAAAATTTACAAAGTGCAATGAATAATGGGAAGAATTTGGAAGAAGTAGGCGTATTTGATTACGCATGATTAAAAATAGAAATAAAAAAATAAAAATATTTCAACAAAAACGACAAGGGACAAAAGGGTAAAAAATTATAATAAACAAGTCGCATATCGCGACAATAGAGAAATTAGAATGAACTAGAATACGTAACGGTATTGGTTAGTTTTGAATTAAAATTAATTTTTTTATTTAAATAAAAGTGCAAATTTAATTAAAAACGCTTTAGCGATTTTGAAATATAATTTATAATTCTATAAAGGGCATCTCGCGACTTTACGCATGATTAATTTTTAAATTTAATTCAATAAACGCTGCGAAAAGCGTCTAACAGAGGGCCTTGGCTGCCAAAATCTCTCTTGCCAAAATTGCCAACCTGTCGGCAAAGGGCAGTCGATTTACGTGCTATAGGCATTTGACTCTGCGTCGCTTTACATATGGAATCGTTTAAAAAATTTGAAAAAAAAACAAAACAATTAATTGTTTGGAAGTTTGAATGAGCAAAACATAGAAGTATTATTTAGAGTTGGCCGGTACCGTCATCCCGACCTGTATCGGGCGGTAGTATACCGTTTACTTTGAATCCCGATAGCGATTTTTCTGAACCGATTTTTTCTGATATCGATACTGAAGGGTGAATCCCGATACCGTTTTTTCCCGATACCACTACCGAGACCAGTATATAAGTATCGTTATGATCATTCCAAAATACCGATACCGATTTTGTGTCGGGATCCCGATACCGGCCAACTCTATATCAATTAATTATTATGTGAATAGTTTACTAAATATATTTTATTTTCAAACCATGCATTACGACCAGTGATGTCAAAGTTCCAGTTCAAGTTCCTGAACTAATTAGTTCTAGTTCCAGTTCCAGAACAAGAACTACGGAACTAACGATTATCTGGAACTAGTTTGGAACTAGAACTACGAAGTAGTAAATGCCTGGAACTAGCTTGGAACTAGAACTACGAAACTAGTCTATGATTGGAACTAGCTTTGGAACTAGTTTTGGAACTGGAACTAGTTCCAGAGAAATTTTGGAACTTTGACATCACTGATTACAACACAGTTTTGTTTTTTGTTTTAAATTAAATTATGTTTTTATTTAATTTATTTTATAATTTAATATAGGGCATCTCGGGACCGTACGCATGATTAATTATTGAATTTAATTCAGTAAACGCTAAGGAAAATGCATAGGCCTTGCCCAATGCCTCCCTAGGAAGGATAGTGCCGGGCTTGAGAGGAATGCCAACAAGTCAATGAAAGGATACAAAGAAGGCAACATAGAAAAAAGAGAGGCATGGGTCTCTCGACAAGTCACTCGACAAGTCATTAGAGAGTTTTGTTTGCCTCTACACTAGTTCTCCCCCCCCCCCCTACTCTATGTTTTAATTTCTCAATATTCATATGCACCTGTAGTAAATTATTTTAAAACAAAATATAATGATACAGTAATTTTTGGAATGTCGATGTTAAAATCGCGACTTTAAATTTTTTTACTAATTTAATAATTTTCTTATTAACACTTAAACGACGGAAAATTGTATACGACGTTAAAGCCTGTTTGGGGTCATTTTGACCCCAATCGATTTTAGACCCTAGCTCTAGATTCGAAATTTACACTAATCAATTCCTCTCGCTGAGCTGAGTTAAAAAATGTAAGAATTTTTTGCGGGAGGCGAAAACTCGCAGGGATATAAGCCCCCGAAAATCGAAATACCGTAGGCGGAACTAAGCTGTTTTTCGAGGTGAAAAATTCGATTATACAAATGTTAGCTCATTCGAAAGGGCACCTCGAGTTGAGTTGAATGACACCAAAATCAACCCAATCTGACTTGAAAGGACCGAGTTATAGGTCGGTTACTTTGATATATCTCGATCTATGTCTCGGTCTATATTTCGATCCACAGGCATTACCGCACCTAGTCAATGGTACCGTTCGACTCAGCTTGGAGAGGGGAATCGATTGATATATGTTTGAATCTAGGTCTCGAGTCTGTAAGGCACTATCACAACTGGGGTCAAAATGACCCCAACCGTCCAGAACGTGACTAGATGTCATAAAAATTTTTACAAAATATGTATTTCTATTGTCTATTCATTTTTTGATACTACTCATCGATATAAACAAAGTCACGAAAATGGATAAGTGCAGTAAATATGTGAAGAGAGATATAGAGCTTAGAAATCGCTTTGGGGTCATTTTGACCCCATCCGTCGTCTAAGGGTTAATATTAGGGCAGTTGGCGACATTTTTTAAAGCCGGAATTTTTGAAATTTTTGCCAAAAAATTGAAAATCGGAAATTTGTGAAAATGGGTGATATTATTAATCCCAAAATAAAACCGGTATTTGCCTAAAACTCGAACCGAAAACCAAATTTCTAAAATATAGAACCGGTCGCCAACCGGTTCTATATTAATAACCGGTCGCCAACAACCCTAATTAATATTGTTTCAATATTTTCATGACGGTTTAAAAATTTATTAATAATATTGTAAGTAATATTGTCTTCATTCATTCAACAGAGTTGCCGGCCGGCCAATCCAACCTTATAGGGAAGAGAGCTCTTCCTATATTCCCCCACTGCGAGCGATTAACTTATTTCTATACTCTGCGGAGTTCACACATGATTGCAAGCATGCGCGACTCTGCTTATAACATCTACTGAACAACGAGGCACTGGGAAACGGGACCAACCGCTTTACTATATAATACCGTCTGTAATTCAACTATACATAGTCTCGATTATGAAATTTTAAACAAGAATGATTAAACTTACATACATAATTGGAAATAAATGTTTAAATAAATAGAAAAACGCACTCTAGGAAATTTTAATGTGGCGCTGATACACTGCACTGCACTTTTCTTATTAGATAGGGCATTTGCCGCCGATTCAATACTTTAAAACAAGTGACAGTCATGAGATTCAATGCTGCATGAGATTGCCAAGTCGAATTTCTCTGCCAAAATTATGTCTAGCTTATATGTTTTTTATCTCTTTTTTATCTCTGGACAACCTGGGCATTGTATATTTTAATTAAGATTTAATGTAAAATGCTGTTAGAGAAATTTACAGACTTACGCGCGCTCAGGGCAAGCTCCGCCTCGATGGACATGTTCGGCAAGGCTATGGGGCCGTATAAATAAGCGTTGAATCCCAAGCAACAACCACTTTAAAATTTTATTTTTTAATTTTTTTTTAAATTTTTAAACTCTCTTAAAGCTCTCTTAAAGCCCTCTTAAAGCTCTCTTAAAGCTATAAGCATTCCTTCTCATTTTATTTATTTCTCGAGTTGCTTAATATTTTTAAATTTTAAGGATGATTTCCTTAAAGCTTTTGAATTCATTCTTTAAAGAAAGAATGCTTTCCTTTCTGATTTTGTCTTTGATTTGCATTGAATATGCAATTGGAGGTGGGGGAGCGGGAAGTTCTAGAGGTTCAAAGAGGGGTAAAGACAAGCAAATTATGCAATCGGGAAGCTTTTCGTTTGATTCTGATGTTCCAACACAATACGATCTTGGAATATACACCAGACGATGTAATTTATAAATATTTAAATTAAAATTAAACTCTAAGACTGAGTGATTAGCCAGCTAGAAGCATAGGTCGCGGGCCACAAAATGCCATCATAGAGGATGGTAGCAAAGCGGTTGTGCTTCTGTCTGGAAGCACTTTATGATGGTCTTTCATCCCCTAAGCAATAAATTTTTTTGGAAATATGAGCATAATAGTAATTTTAATTTAGTTGATGGAGGTTCTGTTCTTGTTCTAGAAGATGGCTATGATAATTTAAAAAAAGATGCAGTAGTTAATATTGAGGACATCCTCGAAGCGTTAGGACTTTTGAATGTGGAATGTATGTTATTCTATAAATGGAAGATTAGTAATTTAATAATTACCATTATTTGTAGATATTCGAGATGGACAAGTCAATGTTGTTAAGAAATATAAAAATATACCTGGAGTTGGAAAAGGAGTAATGAACATTGAAAATATTGTCGGAGCGATTGCTGATTGGGAAATTGGAAATTCTAATTCTGGAGTTACTAATTGGTTGATCCAAGAAAAGCCTTCGAATAATCCCATCTTTGAACCCCTATTCGATGGCCATGTAATGGTAATGTTTTTCAACGGAGAACAAGAGAAGTTTAGACGTGAGTTATTCTCTAATTAAATTTTATTGCTGCTTAAATTAATGGAAAAATTTCAAATTTTCTTCTCATTAATTTCAAAAAACTCTAACCCATTAGTAGATGGGATTTATATGGATTTCAATATTTTTTTCCTGGCCTAGTTGGGTCGTGAAACGCACAAAAAACATAGTTTTAGCATATGTTGATAACAAAGATTTATTATTAGCTTATAATTATTTCAGTTCATCTTACATCGAAAGGCTTAAACTTTTATGATACAGCACGTCGGACAAGTTATTTTGTCGGTGGACGCACTGGCATTAAATATCTATTGAGATTGGAAATTGATAATGAGAATAGAACAGAAGCTAGTTCAACACGAAGTAAAAACACTAAGGAATTTTTGACCACTGGCAAAAGGGCGACTAGATGCCGTAATCCATATGTACGTTTATTAACATTTATATTTCGTCACGGTATAGATGTAATTTTCTATTTTTCTTGATTTTTTGAGAGATGGGAGAGAGATTAGCTCAGACTTAATTAAACCTAACATTTTCTCGATGCCTTAAAATCTTTTTAACTTCAATAGGTGCATACCCGTCAACTCAATTTGCATCAGATCATCAACATTGCCTACAAAAAAGTTACTCGTGGACGCAATATTGTACCACACTTCAAATGCCGCCATTTTGTCTATGAATTCATAATTGCTATTGCGGATAATAGCTGTAAAAGTCATTTGTTTAATTATGAATCATGGCCAGAAGGCATTCGCTCTCTTGATGATTTTTTTGCTGTTGGAGGCGTTTATGCTTTTAATCAAGTCATTGACGATATCAATGAGCACGGCAAATACCAGAAAAAGTAAGATTTAGATACTATCTGGTCAAAATTTTTTTTATAATTTGTGATTCATTATAAGAATAATTTTCAATTTGAACATATTAATGTATGAAAAAAGTAAAGTTTGACTTCTACTACTAAGCTTGATCTTTTGTACATTGGGTGGTACATCAAGTACAATAGATGACCGAACTATAACTTACCGCCGAAAAATACAGAATCGGAACCCAAGTATGGGCACACGAACATTGGCTCGAAGTACATCGGGGTGTATCCCTCTTTTTATTAACACGGACATTGTTAATACGGTCATTGGCCCTCTTTTTATTAACATATTTAAACCAAAGATTAAAAAAACTAGGGATCGGAGTTTCAGGTTTAAACCCCTTAAAACATTAACTAAATAGGTTTGAAAAAATTTTATAATAGATAAAAACTAGAAATATAGATCCCTTAAAGTTTGGTATATCAAGTTCAACTTTATTAATATTTTAAATTTTTAGCGATGACGGTGACTACAATACTGAAGTTATCTTTAACTGATTGAAAGGCATGAAAGACATCAAGAAACCTTAGTTAGATTGGATGTTAAACAAAAAAATCTGTCAAATCATTAAATTTTCAAATTTTCTTTCTCTATATTTAGATGCCGAAATTATTTTATTTGGGTGATTAGGTGTCTTTTTATCCGGATATCCCGATTCGCTAGTCGTTGTCTTAAGATGAAGATATAACCCGAAGTATATCCTTATAAATTTAGCTTTTTAAAAATTCCTCTTTGGGGTATTATTAAATTAAAAATACAGACGGACCACAGTTTTAGCTACCCCTTGCTTTAAAGAAGATTTTTAATCTTTTTGTTTGGCTACTTGAAATGGGGTGGGGTACCTGCCAAAGCGATAGCCTCTCAATGTTAGATACTTCACATTGATGAATGAAGTTTCCTCTTCATGATCAAGGAGTATCAAAGCATAGTTCGATAGAATTTGATTTAAAAATTTATATTTCGGCATAATTTTAGATATTTTCGGTTATCTTTTATATTTCAATGCATAAATCTGTCAAAAAATTGTGTTTTTAAGTCATTTTAGTTTATAATATTAAGACATGAGTTAAATTTGACTGTCTTTAAATCCTATCCGATTATTTTAATTTAAAACTGGGCCGGTTTTACATTTATTTTTTCTAACTTTACCCGGTTCGCTGTCCTACGTCGCCATTATTATTTCTGGTAAACAGACATTTTTATTCAAGTAAAAATTCAAATGTATCTTCAGATACATCTGAATTCTTTTGAAGAATTAGTTCGTCAATTGTGTCAACAATTTCTCTTACTTTTTCGATCCATTCATAGAAATGTCTATTCTCAACTGTATAATTTCAGAAGCTTGAGTTTTTTTCATTCTATCATTTGGATCTAAAACTTTTAAGAAATCTAACCGAGGTTGGTTCTTTTCATCTAAAGATTTAAAATTTTTTAATGCCTTTTCCATCATTAACTAATGATTTTTTCTCTTCATCATTTATTTCATATTTTAATATAATACTTTCAGCATTTTCAATTCTAACTTTCAAACGTTGTAAAACAGTTCCGATCACACTTTTTATGGACCGGACATTTTTAATTTTTAACTTTAAACTTTTGTCTTTAACTTCAAATAGATTTGTACTTCTAAACTATAATCTTTTAAAGTCAACTCAAAGTTTTAGATTAAAATTTTTATTTTTAAAAACAATTTCTTTTTCTCAAAAAATAATTTCTTTAAATTTTTCTAAAGAAAAATTTCTTTTTACAAACAATTTTAACTTTTAAAACTAGAATTCAGACAGGTTCGTTCAAATGTAGCGGCACTAAATGTTTAGAAATACTTTCCCAACAATTATTTAAAGATAAAAAATTAATTTTAAAAGAATAAAAAACTTTATTTAAATTAAAATTTTAAAACCTTAAATTAATAAAACAGTGAAAAGACTGCAATTTTCAATTAACTTTTAAATCTAAGAAGAGCTCTGAACTTAGAAAACTCAAAACAAACTCTTTAAGTTCTAAGTTCCACTCTTTATTTTATACAAAACAAAAGTCTAAAACAATTTAATTCAACGTTAAGGGAGTTGACGCTGCAATAATACAAATTTAAGGCGAATATTCTAATAAAATTTAATTTTTTGATTGATTGATAAAAAACCGATTTAAATTTCCAAATAAAATTCTAACTGATTTCTAGCACGATTTCTGGAAGTTTTTTGAAGATATAGCCAAATAAAATATTTTATTCCATAAAAGGAATATTTAAAATTTAATTATTATTTATACAACTTGATTTTTCTTAATTAATAAAAAAATTTATTAATAAAAAATTATTTAGAGAAGGAAAGTTTTAAAAAATACTGAGCCAAGTTTTCTATTTTTAAAATTTATTCAGCTGGTAATAAAATAAAAATTTATTTCACTAATGAGATTGACGCAATTCACTTTATATTTATAAAGACTAGCTAAGTTAGCAGTTTTACGCTTGATTTTTGTTATTAAAATTTTATATCGTCACAAATGAAGTTTGATAAATATCTATATAGCATGTTTCACGCCTTAATTATTTCGAGATCTAGTCGCTAATACGGGCTTCGTCGAAGTTCTTCTGTATTAAAGTTTGTCGTTTATTACCGACGAACTTAGTCGGTATTAAATAATAGAGGTCATATTCCCGATAAAAAGTAGGGCTAATTAAGAAATTTTATCAAATACTAAATGCTAAGCTTTTCTCTAAAACTGAGACGTTGGGAGTGAATTGAGGCGAAGCTTTAACTAGTGTAAGGAAGACTTAAATGGCCTAATATTAAATTCCCCTACTCTAGAGCAACAAGTCATATCCCCTCTTATAATTAATCCCGCCCATTTTAATCACTTATAAATAAATTGTATCCCCAACTAGTTAGTCGATTGAATTCTCATTTTATTATTATAAACTTTAAATTGTATTTTTAAAATGTAAAATAAATGTTAGTGACAGTCTGGTTTTGTTTATGATTATATTTATTTCTTTCGGAAACGAAAGAATAGTTGAGTTGATCCGATTAGTGATAAGTCTAGAGTAGGGGAATTTAATATCAGGTCATTTAAATCTTCCTTATACTAGAAATATTTTAACTAAAGTCAAATTGCGCTAAAAATTTGCTTAGGACCAATACTTCCTACATTTATTAAGGTAAGGGAAATGCTAACAGGGACTGTTTTTCAATCCTAAACTGACATAAATGAGTCAAAATTCTTGAACACATATGAAATTTACATAATAAATTTTAAGCTTTACAAGAAAAATTTAAATTTAAACATGAGTTTCGTTGCAATCATATTTTTGCTTAAATTGACATTCTTTGTGTACGTGAATGCTGGTTGCGATATAAGTAAGGAATTATATATTTGTTTGGTTTTGATCCCAATCAAAACTAATATCAATCAAAACTAATATTATTTCTAAAAGGTGTAAATCTTCAGTGTACATTTAAAGATTTATAAGATAATAAGATTTCCGTTCATTTCAGACTGTAAAAATGGACAAGTTAAACTATGTGAATACGTATCACACGCATGTTCGGATCCAGGAACAGAAACGTCGCCTCTTTATAGTAATTTTTTGACTTTGATTATTAGACATATAATTTTGTATTATAGCTACTACTACATTTAAAAAAGGTGTTTGTCAATGCAGCCCTGATTATGTCGGTGGCACAGGAAAACTTGTTTGTCATAATCCTAAAGAAATGCTTAAAGCGAAGAAAGCTAATAATAAACCTTGCTAAATTAATACAGTAAAGAATGGGAAGATAAGTATATTAAATTCGGTTTTTAAATTGGGTTTTTAAATGGGGTTTTAAGATTATATTCTAATATTAAAAGTGGTTTTTTTAATTGTGGTAATGATAAAATTTGTGATCATTCAACTCAATGTAATCCTTATTTACAATAATATTAATGACAATAAAAAGAATATTTTATATTACTGTTGTATCAATTAAGGTTGTCGGATAGTTGGAAATCTTAAGATATCGGGATCCGGTATACGAACCGAAACTTTCAGGATATTCGGTCTTTTTTGGGATACGGATATCAGGATCCGACAACCTTATAGGAATAGAAAGATAACTTTTGATATTTATTATATTAATTTACTAAGTAGTGTTTATAAATTGTTATTAA